TTAATGAAATAAATATAATCAGATTCAATATCTGACGTATTCATTCATTCATTTTCTTTTAGGCTTAGTTACTTTATTAATCCAGGGTCGCCACAGCTGAATGAACCACCAACTTATCCAGCACATTTTTACGCAGCGGATGCCCTTCCAGCCCCAACCCATCTCTGGAAAACAACTATACACACTCATTCACACTGATACACTACGGACTATTTAGCCTACCCAATTCACCTGTAACACATGTCTTTGCACTGTGGGGGAAACCCACGCAAACGCAGGGAAAACATGCAAACTCCACACAGAAACGCCAACTGACCCAGCCGAGACTCGAACCAGCGACCTTCTTGCTGTGAGGCGACAGCACTACCTACTGTGCCACTGCATCGCTCCTGACATATTTACATGATTATTAATTAGTATATTTAGTATTGACAATGTAATAGATTTTATTCCTCTAATATGTATTTATTCTCAAAAGTCAGTTGTCTTATTTCTATATTTATTGTATGCAGGATGATTATGGTGATTTCAATAACTAATATTTATGAATACATTTATGATTTAATGTACATCACAATCATGAGTTTATTCCACAAAAAAATGGTTACATTTTCCTAAGAAACTTTTGGTAACAATTTAGTTGAAGCACCAATTCTTACTAATAAATATACAATTTTAAGGTTAAATAGTGGCTTATGACCTGCCTATTATTAAAATATTGGTTGTTTATTAGTCCTTATAAAGTACAGACTGCATGATATACATTTGAGGTCAGAAGTATTTGCCCCCCCCTTTTTTTTTTTTTTTTTGAATTTTTGCCAAATGATGTTTAACAGAGCAAGGAAATTTTCACATTATGTCTAATAATGTTTTTTTTTTCATCTGGAGAAAGTCTTTTTTGCTTTATTTCGGCTAGAATAAGCAGTTTTTAATATTTTTAAAAACTATTTTAGGGACAAAATTATTAGCCCATTTAAGCTATATATTTTTCGAAAGTCTACAAAACAAACCATTGTTATACAATAACTAACCTAATTACCCTAACCCCCATAGGTAACCTAATTAACCTAGTTAATCCATTTAATGTCACTTAGAGCTGTATAGAAACGTCTTGAAAAATATCTAGTCAAATATTAGTTATTGTCATCATGGCAAAGATCATATAAATCAGTTATTAGAAATGAGTTATTAAAACTATTATGTTAATAAATGTGTTGAAAAAATCTGCTCTCCGTTAAACAGAAATTGGGGGGGAAAAATGGGGCTAATAATTCACGGGGGCTAATAATTTCGAATTCAACCGTATATATACATATATATATATATATATAAACATCAGTGTTGAGCACATTCCTTTAAAAGATTATTTAGTTATAGTACTTACTAGTTGCAAATAGTAATTGAGTTAAAAACTAATTAACTAAGTAACTAATTACCAGGGAAAGTAACTATTGTGTTACTGTAAAAAAAAATCTTGAAAAATGACTAAAAAATAAATATACAAATATTGTACACTAATCTAAACTATTTTAATGGTGTTGTGGGACAATGTGAGCGACAACAGCAGCGTGTCCTCAACTATATATCTAGATATAATTTTATTTTCTGCCTCCGATTGGCAAGAGAAAAATACTCTAAGCCAATCATCACGTTCTCATTTACACCACGTTCACAAACACACCAATCATCATCATTTAATTGTAAGTAACAGTAACGGGGTTGTAACAGGGTAAACAGTAATTCAATTGATTACTCGTTACTGAAAAAAGTATTGTCGCTAGTAACACCATTTATTAATAGCACCATTATTCTCATCCTGATAATCACACCCCAAAATCTAAACCTAACTAATAACCTTTAATAAGCAGCAAATTGGGAGTTTATTGAGCTAAAGTCATAATTAATGGTTTATTAATAATGAGAATTGTACTTTAAAATAAAGTGTGCCCAAACTTTTTATTACTAAAATTTTGCACTTATTACTATGATTGAAGTTTAGATAATATAGACTTTTTTATTATTTTTTGTATAGAAACTATAGTAGATTCCATTCATAGTCCCAAAGTGTAGTTGTCACAATCGCCAGTAGTCCACTCCTGACAAATCGCTGGTGAACTACATATGTCTTGTTAAGGAACTACAAATCCCATCAGCCCACGTCACACACACCAGTTGCCAATCATGGCTGATGAGACGCACAAAGCTGAGACTTGTGATCACTGATCATTCAGACTACTTATACACCACATATACACCAGTTTAGCACAAAGTCTTTAATGTATGTATGTTGCACGTCCTGACATTTCTTTTTTTTGCCCGTTTGTATTTTTGACCTAAGCCCTGTTTAGCATTTGCCGCCTATTTAGACTTTATTCCTATTTTCGACTAAGTTTTGGATGCCCTGTGTGTACCTGTCTTGCCCCTTTTTTGACCATTACCTGCTCACACTTGGATCCTTACTTTCGTTGTCTGAGATTCGTATAGTCTACTAGTAAATATATTTTACCCACACTGTGACTGAAATTACATGACTAGTAAACATTGTTTAAAATAACAACAAGTAACATTATTCTTCATTCAGAAATTATTTTATGTGAAAACACTCATAACTGAAAAATGTGTAAATGTTTGACGCTGTTTTACACCAGTTAAATTAATAAGAGTGTTCAAAGTTTGCTAGAGTTCAGGTGGCTGTTTGCAACATGCTGAATGTCAAGACAAGTTAAATGTGCAATTAATTTGGCTCTAATCAAGCGTGTTAAGACAAATTAGCAAGACCTCCTTTGTGTCCTTGTGTTAAGATCAAAGCTAGATTTCTTTAGCATCTGTTTTTATATAGGATGAAAAATGAATTCATTTGTAGTCTGCGCTGTAAAAAATAAGATGACAAAAAGTCTGGGGTTTTTTAGCTACAGTATACAAAGTTTAACATAATATTTTTAGTCCGATGGACTGATGTAAGTTGAAATGACTAGAAGAGTTGATTTGATTCTACTGAAACAATTTAGACAATATATTTTATAGGATGTTGCTGAAAATGACATGCTTTTATATGAATGTCAAAGCTGGAATAAAAGCAGTTTTATATTTTTTCAACAATTTTTATGATCGAGATTATTAGCCGCTTTAATTGTTTTTTATTTTATTGGCTACAGAACAAACCATTCTTATCCAATAACTTGCCTAGCTAACCTAATGAACCTAGTTAATTTTTTTAATTGCACATTAAGCTAAATATTAGTATGTTTTCGTGCAATTAGTTATTAGGGGCCCTATCATACACCCGGTGCAACGAGGTGCAAGAAGTTTTTGGCGCGATTTGTTGCTATTTTTAGATCAGCGCAACACTAATTTTCATGTTTTGCGCCACGTTGTTTAAATAGCAAATCCACTTGCGCCACTTTGTAGACTCATTGGTGTGCTGGTTTATAAAAGAGGTGTGTTAAGGCGCATTTTTGCCGTGTTTGCTATCTTGAGGAACTGAAAAAGACTGCACAATTGACCAACTAAAAGCTGGTCTAAAGTCCAGTGCAGAGCACATTAGTTTTGCACCTATGTAGGTCCAAACACTTACACATTGCTTAATACACACAGGATGTACAGCAATACACAAATATCTTTACATATGAAAAAATAAAGGATTCAAATCTTTCAAAAATAATAGTTAATTTCTACATAAATATAAAAACACTGCCTCCATGCCTTCTTCACCTTGGGGAGGCTTTTATCAGTTTCAATTTGCATTTGGTTAACGTCATTATTATTAGCAGCATTATTATATATATATATATATATATAGTTTTAATAAAAACAAGTTTAGATTTGTCCACCTGTCAGGTTTTGGATCATATGGGGCATAGCATGTGTATTTGGATATAACTTTTTTGACCACACTTTGTTATTATTGTTTATTTATTCGTTTACTGGAAATTAGAGCTGAATTTAGAAATAGTTTTGAAACAAATCTTTGAGCTTAAACAAAATTACATATGTAGGCTAATGGATGTCTTCAGTGGAGTGAGTTTCCACCGTTGCCTTCACCAAAATAAAGGAGTAAAGGAGTAAAGTAAAGAGGACGAATGGAGGAGGCGGGTTCTTTATCCTCCCACTGCAGATGCTCTGTTTAACTGTTTAACTTTCTCACTAGTAAAGAATTCAAGTTTTTCCACTTACAAAGTTCGCCATGTAAATAGCAAATGTACCATGGCGAGACGCAACTGACTGTTAAAGGGAATGTTAGATGAGACTCTGATTGGTTAATGCACGCCATGCTCAAAACACACCCAGAACTCATTAAGAGAATAAATACAACCCTGTTAAACCATGCGCCAGGCCATATTTTTCCATCCCTTAAATTGCAAAAATAGATTCGGACACGCCCGTATGCTTGGCACTTTAGACTTTGCTCCTAGATCATTAAAATAGAGCCCCAAAACTGTTTAAAAATGTGTTGGAAATAAAACTTCTCTCCATTAAACAGCACTTAAAAAGTATTTTGACTTCAATAATCTAAAATTCAAGCAATGAAACAATTCTTTTAACCATTGTTTAAGCATTTTTGTATTTTTCCAATGATGAGCTATTACAAGTTTTGCATGCATTGTGCATAATTACTGCAATATTAGGGGGGTTTAATTGATTACCTGGGTGGTTTCTAACTTTCTTAAATTACTCGACTTCATTTTCCAATTTCCTAATTTACACATTCCTACAGAGGTAAAAATAAATAAATAAATAAAAACAGCCTGCTGAGGTTTCTTCGTTTGCCATGTAGAGTTTAAAGCAATTATCATGTTTGTTGAGGCTGCGCTTCATGCTATTAGTAAATACAATTAAAACATTGTCAAAGTTTGATTAGCGCCTTCCTCCTTATCGCCTTGTGCTGTTTCATTAACTGTCTACCAAGAGATGATAGAAACTCAATGAGCAGATATTACACATGGTACTCACTAAAGCAGTGCGTTGTAATGATGTTTGTTGTTGTGTGTGTGTTTCCGCAGTGGAGTCGAGCAGCCCTAGTCTTCTGTCTCCGGATAACACTCTTGAACGCTCCTTCTTCATCCGGATGAAGTCCACGCTCACCAAGAGAGGCGTTCACATCAAGTCCTCTGGATACAAGGTAAAAGAAATGAAAAAACACTTTATAATTGATATAATCAATGATACTCAGCTGCAGTTTTTTTCTTTTTTAAATATTTCCCATATGATGTTTAACAGAGCAAGCAATTTTTGACAGTATTTCCTTTTTTCTTATGAAGAAAGTCTTATTTGTTTTATTTCGGCAAGAATGAAAGCAGTTTTCAATTTTTTTTCCAACACCATTTTAAGGTCAATATTATTAGCCCCCTTAAGCAATATGTATTTTCTATTGTCTAAAGAACAAACCACTGTTATACAATGACTTGCCTAATTAATCTAGCATGCCTAATTAACCTAGTTAAGCTTTTAAATGTCACTTTAAGCTGAATACAAGTGTCCTGAAGAATATCCAGTCAAATATTATTTACTGTCATCATGGCAAAGATAAAAGTAATCAGTTTTTAGAAATGAGTTATTAAAACTATTATATACAAATTATACAGAATTAATAGTTCCAACTTTAACTGTATATTTAAATCAAGTCTTAATCATCCTATGTCACATGCACTTTTTATTTTCAATAATATAATCAGTTTAAGGCAAACTATTTGCTCTGCCGTAACATTTTGCTGTTTACCATATTAATTAATATTAATAATAATTCATTATGGTCGCAATTTATTTTAAAATAAAATTCTTGCTATTAATAAACTGTTAACTATGACTTTTGCAACAATAATCTCCTAATTTGCTGCTTATTAATCATTTTTGAGGGTGCTCAGTTCATTCCGGTAGGTGTGAAAGTGGCAATCGTGCTTGGTTGTGCACTAGAGATCTGCAACAGATTCCATGTGCCGTGGGAATAAATTTCCGAATAAATCGCAATAGAGGTCTAACAATATCGCTCCCGACTTCCGAGCAAGGGAGCATGCGTATGTATGTGTGTGAATAAGAGAGCGTGATGCTGTGTGAAGCTTGTTTGTTGCTGTATATGTGTGTGAATGAGAGAGAGAGCTTGGTGCTGTATATGTGTGTGTGTTTGTGTGTAAATGAGACAGAGCGTGATTCTGTGTGTCGCTTGCTTGGTGCTGTGTGTCTATGTATGTGTGTGTTTATACAGACAGCTTGGTTTAGGTCCATATCTTGTAGCAGGGTGGTTTTTGGTTTAGTGGGAATGGTCGCAGTCGTTAGAAAACGGGACGGTCGGGCAGCATGACAACAAATGCTGAATATAAGCGGGAGCGGTTGGGTTTGGACTAAAACCTGGCGGGAGCTGGATTAAAAATTTTGTGCCGCGCAGATCTCTATTGTGCACCAAGAGCGGAACGAACTAGTGTACTGAGACCTGCTTTCAAACTAACCCTGGAGTAGTTCATTTGAACTTGAAGACTTTTGGAAACTAACTAGCTGTTAAACTGTTAAATTTTACGATGAGAAAATTTAATTTTGACTCTTTACTGCAATTACAGCAGGTCACAGACAAATTTCCTCTGCTTTTTGTTTACTTCCGTGTGTTGCAGACGTGAGTTTCCTGCATGTTAATTCTGACCAATCAAAATGCAGTTCAGGAAATTTGTCTAGCCAACGACTGATGTAAATGTTGTCACATGACTACTTTTTGGTTCGTTTCAACTGGTTTGGTTCAGAACGGTCAGTTTGGTAAGAACCAGAGCCAATATGACTAAACAATACAAGATTTTGTCATAACTATGACCATGATGTGCAGGATTTCTATTTTAGAAATGCTTTCTATTTCTATGAAATCACAGAAAAACAACAGAATAAACTACTATGACAAAGATTACCTCAGGTACTGATTCAGTGCTTTATTTAGCGTTAAATGTTACCAATGATTACGTTTACATGGACATAATTTGCCTTAATCTATTTAAGACAATAATAAGATCAAGGCGTTTACATCGCGTTTTACAGGTTATAGCACATGCTTAGATTAACGTCATTGAGTCACCGCGCTATCCGCATTTCCTCCGAAGTTTCATGTAATTTTTAAGTGTTTCATTATTAATTTGTCAACTTTAACTGCGGTTTGGAACTTTCACTTTCATTCGGGCATGCCCCTTATGACAAACGAAATATTGGATGCAACTATGAACTGCTGGAAGAGTTGTTTTAATGAAAGTTCATACCGCATGCTTAATGAAAAAAAAAAAAAAAAGCTCCGCATTTCGCGAGGCAGGTGTCTGTGGCCTGTACTGATTCGGTAGGTGCAAAGATTTTCAAACAGCTGTGTGTTTGTGTGTGTGTGTGTGTGTGTGGACTATCCTGTCGCAAAACGCGGCGAAAAGCCCTACATGATGGTAATAATTCGATTAGGGTGTTTACATGTCTGTAATGCACTTTAATAATGCGACTAAAACCGGCATACTCCACAAGTCTTAATTCAATTTCTCTTTAGTTCCATTATGAGCTTAATCTGACTAAATTAATCAAAAATCGCTGTTTACATTTTCGACTCTTAATGAGAGTATTGTCTTAATTGCAGTAAAATCGAATTACTGGTGTCCATGTAAACATAGTCACTGTTAGTTTGAACATTATTTAATGTGACATTTATCGCCACACTGTAAAAAATGGTCGTGATTTCAACGGTAAAAAACTGTAAAAATGCTACAGTACAAATCCGTAACCTGGTTAACGGTGTGTTTCCTTAATATATACGGCGAATAACTGTAAATTGACTTTCCTAAAATTCCCTGCATGGCACATAACTTTTTATGCATTTGGTTGACATTAATATGGATCTTTTTAGTTGTTTCCCCATCAGTTATGTACATTAGAGATTTATGTTACATCTAATGTTGATAAACAATGTTTATTTCATGACTTTAATTTTATGCGTGTTACCATACTGGTGTTTAGTAGCTGTGTGAATGACACTGAGCACCTTCTACATGCTGTTACTCTTTTCTGCATGTGGGAAAAGTTAATTGTGATGAGCATTGGCTAATTATGTAACTTCATCACCACCTTCTTCATGTGGGTGTGCTAACGTGTCTAACTGTGAAACAAAAGATGTGTAGATGTTGACCATTCAAAATACAGACATATTACCTCTATAAATTAATAAAATACTGTAATTTACCATAAAATGAAAAATTACTTTTACGGTTTGTACCGTGTTTTTAACGGTAAAGTACTGGCAACCACAACTGCCGGTTTTCTACCGTAAATTTTACGGATTTATTTTTTACAGTGCATACTGAAAGCAGCAGCAGTATGGTTTACCTCAGATCTTGAAAATAATATTAATATTACTAATATTATTTTGCATTTCTACAGTCAGTGTTTTAGGAAATGAGCTTAGCCTGACAGTTAAATATATAAGCGATTATGTTCTTTCCATTGCATAGCTTTGCGTCTAATTGCATTGTGAAGAATCGAAACGAAATCATATCGTACTGCATTACGACAGGAGTGAATTGAACTGTATCATATCGTATCGGTATGTAGTTCAAATGTATCTTTAATGTATCGCATCCTTGTCTGTTCATCAAGATCGTTCTCAGCTTTGAGATGCACATCCCTACTCTTTATATAATTGCATACTATTGCGTGAAAGCACAAGGAGCAGCGTTTAGTTGCACGTTTTAATATTAGACAATAGCACAGACAAAGCAGATGACCGAATGCTTCACATTTAGTGTCCATCAGACAACGAGATGATTGTCTGGATGTGTCTCTGAGTGAACGACTGCGATCCAAACCCCCCCAACCCCATCCCACCCGCCGCATCCATCTGGACATAGATTGGATGCAAATAAGCGTGAAGTCGGGGAGCGCACTAACCCATAGCATAAATATTCACGCATGCACATTCGCATATATTACCGGCCAGACAAGGACACTTCTTATTGCATTTACTCCAAATTAAGTCAATATTTGTGTTGTTACATAATACAAAAAGTCTGAATTTTGCATGCATTAGGTGATGGGCGCGCAGCGGCGGGAAGCGCATCATGGCTGTTTATATCTCCTCTTCACTCTGGAGGTCAAATCAAAGTGAATTCTTCTCCAGCTTAAACCAGCCTTTTCTTTTCCTGCCAAGGCGTCTCGGCCCCCGGCTCAGTTAATGCACTCATGTAAAAGCTCTCTATCATTACTTGTGCCGTATCGCATTTCAAAAGCACTCCAGAGAATCCCTAGGAACAGATGAATCTTATTTCTTATGTATACCTATTCTATATTCACCGACGTGGTGACGGGCGGTAGAGAGAGAGAGAGAGAGAGAGAGAGCATTGTGTGCTGAACCATGAATTATAAAAATTGATCCCTTTGTTATGTTGGCTTGTATTAAATTGAGATATGCTATGCGGCTGCGTCTCGCTGCGGCCGCGGTGAACCCTTGCCATGTCAGTTTGCATTTAGCAGCCTGAGCATATTTAATGTTTTGCCAGAGCTTATGATGTTCTTGCCAAGAGCACTCCTGCAGCAATTCACCGGCTAGTCTCTCTTTGTGGCAATTACTTCAAAAGTTGTATTTTCCAACTAACTTTTTGATGCCCCTCGCTTTGGGCTTCAGTAGAATCATTTCCATTTTGTACGTGTTTAATACGGCTCAGTGTTTATTTATTGGGAGAGCCAGCGTTGTGTGTGCTTTTGTGTGTGAGTTGGCGCTCTCTGCTGCGCCGCTGTGTTTTCGAGAATTCGTGTACGGGTTTGATTTCGGCTGTAATTGGACATCACCTTGTGATCGCGGAGTGCTGTGATGTCTTATTGAAGCTCAGCAAAAGCTCCATCAAGTGTGCTTGCCAATGCTAGTTCATCAGTCTGATGAAGGTTTGTGTTTTCGCGATTACAAAATTAATGAGATAATCGCGTAGCGTTAATTGAAACTTATCAAAATGCAGTTCAGGAAATTTGCCTAGGCAACTTTTTGGTTCGTTGGTGAGAAACAGAGGCAAAATCGCAAAAAAAAAAAAGCCTACTATGTATAATTTTAAATCTTGGTCCGGACCAAAAGAAACTAACTATAATAACTATCAACGACCGCGATGTGCAGAATTTCAATTTTAGAAATGT